CACAGGCTCCACCCCCAGGCAGCACAGGCCCCACCCCCAGGCTGGGCTCCTGTGACGCCATGTGGGGGGCTATCTGAAGCTCCCGGGTGGGGGTGGGAAGAGACGTCCTTCATTTAGGCACGGAGGGCCTTGGGGTGGGGCGGGACCCACCTCTTACCTTTGGAGCCCCGCCCTGGGTCCAGGGGGGCTTGTAGGGTACACATCCTCCAGGCCGCCCAAAGGTGGTCACAGTGGGTACCTCAGGCTCCATGTGTCTGTATCCAGGAGCTGTCCCAACACCCTAGCTGCTCCCCGCCTATACCGAGTCACACCCCAAGCCTCCACACCAGCCTGCCCCTTCCGCGCTCCCATAAGGCCTCAGACCTGGGTTATGGGAACCCACCTGGAGTTGCTTCCTACCTGCAAGGCCAGCCCAGTCATGCTGGGGCAGGGTCCACCTGTCGGCAGTCCCAGGACCCCCACACTCAGCCCTGGAGATGGCTCCTCCCTCGGCCTCCTTTGCCCTGTTCTGGAAAGCAGAATGCCTGAGGCCAAGAGTGGGGATGAGCCTGGTCCTCCCTCCCTCCCTGGGCATCAAGATCATGGGGAAATCTTCAAAAATGGAAAAATGGAATTAAAATAGAATGGAATTTTTCCATGTACTTTCTGAAGCCCCCCTGTATTCCATTTGAAATGTTATCTGGGTTCCAAGTCGTTTTCCTCCTGAAAACTTGGCTTTTCACAAAGATAATGTAGCTGGTGTTGGGGCCGTTCCGGAAGCCTGGAGGCACAAGACCCTGCTTGGGAAATCCAAAAGCCTTGAGGCGGGAGTGAAATCATTTCCCAGCCGCGGGTTTGGGCCTCCCCCTGTTGGGTGGGATCACAGAGCGGGAGGCACCCTCTGGGGCTAGAGTCGCCTGCCCCTTAGGGTACAGTTGGGGCAGAGTGATGTTGCCATCACTAAGGAGAAAAGAATGAAGGAGCACATGTGTCTGAGAGATGTCGCAGGTGCGGGCCTGGAAGGTGGACCTGATTTCCTGGGCCTCCGTGGAGGGGAGGGGCTCGAGGCAGGGGCGTGGCTCTCAGGTAGGGGGAGGGGCTTGAAGCCTCAGGGGGCTTGCCCCTCCCACAGTGGGGACTCGACTTGTCCAGAGGGACTCTCACCATGGTTATTTCTCATCAAGCCCTCTGCATGTCCTGTCCCCTCTTCCCCCCCCCTTCCTCCCCCATTACCATGCTGCGCTCACCACTGACTGCCCAAGCTCTCTCCCTCTGCCTTACCTGCCTTTTCAGGGAACTTACTTTCATCTCCTTCCCCATTTCTCCCATAGTTGTCAGTGTTTTTCCTATGGATTTATGGTACTGTGGTTAGCTGCCTCGTTGAGTTAGCCCCCTACTCAGGGTGACCCCACTATGATGGAAGGCAGCTCTGCCAGGGTTGTAGATCAGACCGCTGGGATCCATAGAGTTTTCACTGGCTGATGTGTGGAAGTGGATCTCCAGGTGTTTCTTCCTGCTCTTAGTTTGGGTGCTCCACTTGGATTTCCAGGTCTTTCTTCCTGGTCTGTCTTAGGCTGGGTGCTCCACTTTTCAGCATGACAGCAACATGCAAGGTTCCCACACAGACTGTGAGAATTCCACGCCTGTGGACTCAGGAGAGCCCTTTAGTCCACCGCAGGGCCCTTCCAGGCCACCATCTTGATTTTTACATACTTCAGCCTGTCAGTTTTGTGCCTGGCACCACTGAGGGGAAACAGTACCCCCACTTTTCCTCTTGCTTTGTGGTTTCATGAAACAAAGTGAAGTGAACTAGTTTGTGTAGAGCTGGTCGCTATGAATCGGAACCGACACCTCGGTACTTAACAACAAGAAGCCCAAGTAGCCCACGTCAGATGCATGCTGCTGGCTAGCTTTGCCCTTGAGCCACGTGGACTGTATTTGCTGTACAATGGCATGTGGGTTCAACTTAATTTTTTTTCTAGAAGGTTCTGCAGATATCTCATTTTCAGTGAACCATTGCTTCACCCCGCTCTCAGAAGCGTCTCCTCTCACACATTGAGTTTCCATGCATTCGAGTTGCTGGCTTTCTTCTGTTTCATCGTTTCTCTGACTCTTGTCTGTCGGTGGGCTGGCGTCACACCGTCTTCAATGCTGGAACTCTGATGCTTCAGTGTCTAGCAGCACAGAAAAACACTTCCTCCCTCATCTCTCCCTTTCTTCCTCCCTGCTTCCCTCTCCCATATAAATGTCAGAGTGCGCTTACTTGGTCCCACAAAAACCATGTTGGTATTTTTAATGGATTTCACTGTGTTTGTGATGGAACCCTGTTGCCGTTGTCCTGTGCTCTACAGTCCTTCTGACTCATAGTGACCCAAGTCCATCAGAAGGAAACACTGCCCCGGCCTGTACCATCCTTGGCCCCTGCTGTTTGAGCCCATGGCTGCACCCATGACTGTGTTAATCCATCTGCTTGAAGGCCTTTCTCTTTTTGGCTGTACCTTCCCCAGAGATTGTACCTTCTTGGGAACATGCCTGAAGTACATGAGGTGAAATAGGACCATCTTCAATTCTAAGGAGCATTCAGGTTGGACTTCTTCCATGACAGATTTGCTCATTCGCCTGTAATTCATGACACATTCCTTGTTCAAAGGGAGATCCGACATCCTCCAAAGGGAGATCCGACATCATCCACGGGGGTTCTGAAACACTGCGACACCCCGATTAAAGGTCTGATTCTCTCCCCTTGACAAGGATCTGCCTTTAGTGAGGAGGTTCTAATGAAGAGTGAGCCTCTAGCCATGCTTTGTGACCCCGCAGTGAGACTAAGTCAGGTGACCTCCCACCTGTCCTGACATGCTGTGAGGAAGCCCATCTAGCCCCTCAAGGGAGACCCTGGAAGGAACTGAAACCTCAAGGCAAACAGCTGAAACTAAGCCTCCAGACCCCAGCCCAACTTCCCTATTTGCACCTCAGCCAGGACCTGGTGTTTAAATTCCCCACCTACAGATTCTGAGAACATAAGTAACGCCCTGTCTGTTTTGGGGTAAATTTTCCTGGAGCCATAGAAACCGGAGCTCTTTTCAAGGACACATTTTGCTTTTCTGTTTGTTCTTTTGTCCTCGGGGCTGTCTTTTTAAACTAGATCCAGCATGTTTCGTTTCTGTAATGAGGTGTTTTCATCTTTGAAAATCCCAGTTGTAAGAAGGGTCTTCTCTTCCAGCAGACTTACTTCACTGCAGACGAGTCTGGAGAGTTCTGTGTGCTCGGATTTCGGGCACCCACCTGAATTAACAACTGTCCTAACTTGCTCTCCAGGGCACAGACTCATGTGCTGGTGTCTTTCTGTTCCTCGTCTCACTGCCTGGACACCCCACCCCACCCACCTCACACACCAGGGCACTGCTGTCTCCTCCTTTCCCAAAGCCTGAGAGCCAACTTGGACTCAAGCTGAGGACAGAGGCCGTTTCTGTCTGAGGCTCTTGACTGCGTGGATTTAACCACAGCGTGTGAGTGTGTCGCACCCCTGGGAGCCTCTAGGCCTGTGGAGACCACGTGGCAGCATCCCCCGCGTAGATGTAGGTTGCCCACCGTCAGCCCTACCTGTCTGTGATTTCACTGCCTCACTGTGGAGAAAGCACCCTTTTGTTAATTTCAGGAAGCCTTGGTGGCTCTGTGGGTGAAGTGATAGAGGCTAACAGTAAGGTTGGCAGTTCAAACCCACCAGGAGAAAGATGAGGCTGTCTGCTCCCATAAAGGTTTACTATGTGAGAACCTCGGGCAGCCATTCCACTCCGTCCGACAGGGTCACATGAGTTGGAACCTACTCAATGGGTCTGACATTTTTGGTTTGCTGATTTCATTTTATGTCATTGGCTGGAGGAGAAGCATTTATTTACTAGGGGTCTCTGTGGAAATGAACTTGGGGGCCGGTTAGTCCCTACAATGTATCGGTTTTATAACAAGAACATCACATTTAGGGTAAAGCAGTGTCCTGTGGCTCTCCCATCTCGAGAGAACTACCAGAGCAGGCCCCAGCCGCTCTCGGGTCCACGTGGGTGCTGGGTGCTCTAGGCATGAAGGCTCGTAACCCCGCAGCACTGTGGGGGAGGGGTACGGCATGGGCCAGCCAGGGGGACCCTGGACGTGGACTGGAACCCACATTTGGGGACCTACTGGACCACACGGAGTGCTTTTGTTCTTGGGCTTACATAGACTTCCCCGGGCCCCACCACACGCCTGGGGATTGCGGGTCAGACCTGCTAGGGGTCTTCTGGTCCAGACTTCGGAGGTCAGTCTGCCCCCTCCCCACGCCCCCGCCCGGCTCCCAGCCCCTGCTGTGATGTGCCCAGACAGTCCTGTTCAAGTGTGGTGAACACTGGAGTGTGAGGGGGTGGTGGGGTATACATCGTGGGGAGGCAGGCTCCCACCCCTCGGTGTACCCTCCTGCCATGGACCCTCAGCTCTGCAGAATGTCACATAACTTGCTTATCTTAGTCACTCAGATAAATACCTCTCAACATCCTGTTTTTCTTATGTCATACGAACAGGAAGCCAGCAATTGTTTGAGATGTGCGTCAGCGTGGCCCTGCCGTGGCGAGCCTGCCTCCCTCTGGCCTCCTGAGGGGCCACCCTTGCTCATACCCACACCCACCGAAGCTCCTCTGTGGTACACCCGCTTACACCCATACTTACCTGAATCCATCCTGGGACTCCCACACATGCATACACCCTGCCCTCTACCTAAACCCACATACAACCACCCTACCCATATACCCCTACACAGCCCTGTACCCTCCACCCACCTGTACCCCCCACACTGACACCCCCACACATACATATCCAACCCCACACCCTCCACCCACCTGCACCCACAGCCACCTCCACCCACAGTCCTCCCCACACATTTACACCCATCTGCACCCACCTGTATCCCCTCATCTTCCAACTGCACCCTCTACACCCCTCTGCCTACCCCACCCACCTGAGACTTGGGTTGTCCCCTGGGGTCCTGCAGGACCGTGATGGGGACTGGCCCTGGGGCTGGGGTGCAGGCTGTGGAGACCGAGTGTCCCTCCTACACCCTGCACAGCCCTGAACAAGGTGCCAGGCGAGTCCCTTGGTGCTCACAGTGTCGTGGGGGTGGACACTAAGTAAAGTGCAGGGGCAGGGTGGGTGCTGCAGACTGAAGACTGTTCTGAGTGGGAGGGTGGGCAGGGGGACACAGGTATGCACACACACACAACCGGGGGCTGCGGTTGGAAGCCAGTTTGGAGAGAACTGACAACTGTGCATTACTGGTTACATGTTGTAGTCCGTCCTTCGTTGCATTCTTTTACATTTTTTTCTCGTTGTTTTATGGCTGTTTTGCACACGTATCTTTTGCTAGAATTTCCCCCCAGGAATTTGAAAGTGTTTTTTATGATATTTTACTGATTTCATTTTCCTGTTCCTTTTCTGTTTGTCACTAGTTTGTAGGAAAACAATGACATAGTTAAGCCTCCTATTAGGGCTCTGTGCTGAGCCCCCTGATTCAGTCCAATCCTTCATTTACCTTTGGAGCCTTCAGGCTTTCTACATAACCCTTCCTACTGCCAGTGAGTAATCATACTTTCTTCTTTCTTCGCAGGCTTTCTACCTTTGCTGCTTTCGTGCCCTATGGCACTGGCCAGGACGTGGGACAGTGTGGGGTGCAAGTGGGACCCCCCCCATGAGGCTCTGTCTTGGCATCAGGCCTTATGTTTTTAGGGCATTTGGCAGCTGCTTCTTACCCGACGAAATGACGTTCCACTCAGTTCTGAGTGCTGAGTGACCCTGGAAGATCCGGAGTAGGTCTACCTGCATGAAATGGACTTTCTTCCTTTATCCTCAGTTCAGGCTGAGAGACTGTCATGGGGGGTGCAGGCTCATCTGATTCCAGAACAATCTGCTTTACTTCACACGTGCACTGCGGACCTGGCCGCTGGGGCTTGTCGGGACTGGGCTCAGCTGGTCACGTGGTCCATGTCCACACTGTGGGGCCTGCCACTGGGGCTTGTTGGGACTGGGCCTATGTCTTTTTTTTTTAATGTTTTATTGTGAATTATGTGATAGTTTACATGGGAGAACATTAGTTTTACATTCCTTCTATCGTATATCGTCTCATTGCCATGATTACAGTCCCTTCCATGTATCATCAACCAACCAAAGGGTACACCCTACAAGCCTGCCCCCGGTCGTCAGCACACAGCCCCTCTCCCTCTCTGGGTCTAGAGTCCCCAGCCGCTCTTGCTCTGTCTCTCTACGTCATCATCTCTGCCTCCATCTCTGGAGTCATTGTTTCTCTGGGTAGGGTCCCGCACTCTGCTCTTCTCCCTTGATGGTCCCAGGGACATCTGCTCCTGGACTGCAAAGTCCTTTTGCTACAAGATGTCTACCTTTACATTTGCAACCCTCACAGTCAGTCCTGATAACAATTATTCACTATTGTACCACATGAGTGCTATCCCATCTCCTTTCATCAGCCCCGCCCAGATAGATTGGATACTACTCAGTGGAGATTCTACCTTCCTCTGTACCCTCTAGATCTAGGCTCCCTCCTGAAAGCTTATAAGCCAGGTATTTCTTGCCTTTGTAGCCCCCCTCCCCCATTTTGTGTAGCTGATGTCCAAGTTGTACATCCCTGTCTACTCTGTGTGTGGAGGGGGTGGGGATGATCCTCGCTGTAAGGATTTGCTCCCTCTTTTGAGTTACTGCATCCATAGATGTAGGTCAAGTTCATCAAATTGCATCAGATTACTCTTTTTTTCCTCTTCTTTCTTCTTCTAATTGAGCTCTGATCATCCAGTCATTGAATCCAGGACAAGTAGGTATTATCTGCAAGTGTGGGTGTTCTTGTGCATATGCCCTCTCTTCTTATCATCAGCTGGACACTTCACTCTCCACTCTAGTCCTCTGTGGCTATGTCACTGACTCTGGGCCCAGGAGTCCCTAGGTCTTGCCATACTGCTGGCCAACCAGGTCTCTACCCAGGTTCACAGGAGTCTATTGAACGTGGTTGGACTTAGCTCACAGCTTCATTGTTGTTTTTCCCTCACTTCCCATTATCGGTGACCAACATGGTCACCAATCAGAGTGTGTATTCCCATTGAGTCTTAGTCTTGGAAGGGGGTTTTCCCTGAGGGGACCCAACCACTTGCTTGATAGCTCCTGGGCGAGCAACTTGCTTGTTCTTGTCCTAGTCTGTCAATCTGCGAATATTGTTCTGTATTTTTCCTGTTGGTCTTTCTTTCAAGAAGTGTCTTCTGTTCTTCTAGCTGCTCCAGGCTATTCTGCTTGTCCTTTCAAGTGGAAATTTCCCACCTCAGAAGATTCTGGATGGGGTTCAGGATTCCACCTATGGTCTTATGTATTGCAGAGGCTCCGCAGGAAGCCTCCTTCACTGGGCACGTTGTAGCCCCATTTTAGGTATTCCAATCTAGTAGCGTAGTGGTTACGAATTTGGCTGCGAACCTTAAGGTCAGCGGTTCGAAACTACCAGCCACTCCGCGGGAGAAAGATGAGGCTTTCTATTCCAGTAAAGATTTATACCCTCGGAAACCCTGTACAGGGTCGCTATGGGTCGGAACCAACTCAACAGCACTTAACAACAACAACAGCAATCAGTTATAGGCAGAAGACGGACTTATAAGCTTTCTATGGTGATATTTCTGGCTATTCCTTTCTCTCCCCCTCAAGTGTCTATTTTATAATGGTATGCCAGGGAAACCAAGATCCAAAAGACAGCCAAGCATCCTAACATTATTTCCCCCTTTTGGGGCCTATGTCTTGACCTAACTGGTCAGGTAGTCTGTGTCTACACTGTGGATCTGCGGCTGCATTCTGGGGGTGCAGACAGGTTAGAAGGAGGCAGTGAGGTCACACTGGTGGGTTTCTCTTCCCTGACACCCAGCATGTATGTGCTGACCCCCAACCTCCCTGAACCCAGTGTCCTTGCCATCTGCAGCTGGGATGGGGACACTAGGCAGGCAAGAAAGGGTGGAGCTAAATGAAGGGACCGGGGAGTGGGCTTCAAGGAGGGGATTGTGCAGCTGTGGTGGGCGGGGAGAAATGGGAAGGCAGAGGCTTTGGGAGGGAACACATATGGTAAGCAGTTCGGAAGGGGTGGTCATGCTGTGACTCGATGTGGCGTCTCCTGGGTGGCCTGGTCAGCCCTTGACTTGGACTTCGTGGCCCAGTGCCCTCTCCCTGCTTGGGAAGCTACAGTGATTATAGCTGAAAGATGAGGCCAGGGCCTCTGGGCTGTGGGTAGAGCAGGGTTAGAGCAGGACTCTGACCACGGGGAGGACAGTGGGACAGGCTTTCCTTAGGGCTCTGCAGAAACTTCAGTACCCTGTCTGCCTTCTGTCCCTCACAGGCCGAGACCCCCTTCTACTGCTGCAGGAGCTCCAGGCACGGTGGCCCCAAAAGAAGCTGAAGCAGGTAAGCTGGGTGTGGGGAGTGCTCTGGTAGCATCTCGTGTGCCGAGCCTGGGAGAGAACCCCTAAAGCTGCAGGTGTGGGTTCTGTGTCGGACACACAGGGTGGTGGGTGTGGCTGAGGAGCCCCTGGGGCCAGACTGTTGGGCGCTGGTGGAAACAAGTATCCTGTGGCCCTGCTGTATCTGCCCAGAGTGGCCACTGCCTTCACTCCACTCACTTCGTGTCTTTGAAATTGCCTCCTCCTCCTTCCTTCACCTTTACCCAGTTGTTCTATTCCCCATCTGTCTTAGCTGGCTATCATGAATTCTCAGTATGCCTTCTTTTCTAACACGTGCATGTGGAGATTTAATGTACCTCTAAGCACCAAATATCACACATCACACGCATACGTACATGTGAAATGTTCATTGTCTTTCTGTTCTTGTATCCCATTTTCCTCGTGATATCTCTTTTGACCAACGTATTATTTATCTCCAGACAAATACAGGAATATCTGTTTGTATCTTTTTTTGGTGAAAGAACGTGGCCGGGAAGCTGTCCTTCTTGATGTATGCCGATGCTTGCTCTGTGGCTAGTGTGTAGAAATATTCCACATGTGCTGGGGGCGGGAATGCGAATTATCTGCTTGATGTTTGGCTCCCAGAACTTCTGCTGGAGGGCCTGCGTCGCTTCTGTTCATGTTTCTTCAGTCAGAGCTGGTCCAGTGGCTGTTCCTGGCTCCCATGAAAAGAGTGGAGCCATGCCGTCCAGATGCCCAGCAGGGCCAGGGGCCCACAGTGACTCAGAGTCGGCATTGGGCCATGAGATGGACTTACATAACTATTTCCAATTTTTACAATTTTCCATGGTCGTTTTTCCCATCTGCCTCCCCGTCTCCCACAATGCCTTGCTCTTTTCTTTCTTTTGATTCTTTTATTCTCTTTATACTTTTGTTGTTGTTGACGTTATGTACCATCAGGTTGGCTTCAACTCACAGCGACCCTCCATAGAGTTTCCAAGGAACAGCTGGTGGCCTTTCAGTTAGCAGTCCAGGACTCCCATTGTAATGTTGTTGTTGGTAGGTGCAATCGAGTCGGTACCGACTCATAGAGACCTTATGCACAGCAGAACGAAACACTGCCCGATCCTGGGCCAACCTCACAATTGTTGCCAC